ACAGGCAACAGAGAAGAGAAACCAATGTATTCAATTGATACCAATGGTGTCCTTCGAACTTCCAACTTGGAAATTGATTTGCTGCTTTGCTTCGGTGTGCGGGGTCCTTCAGCTGAGACAATTTGCCGGTCTTGACTTGCCGTCTGACCAAAGCCTCACGAAGAGCACAGGACAGAGAATAGAGGTTCCCGGCCCAGATATAAAGGGCGACAACTCAACAAGATCAGACGAAGCAGGCAAGACGACACTGAATGTATGAAGTATGAAGGCTCAGGCATCAAGACCAGGAGCTTTCAGAGTTTGCTAATGTCCCTGATGCAAAAACACGTTCAGATTGACGGTTTTCAGCCCAGATTTGGGTTTCTCTCTGATATGTCATGTTGCAAAGGGTGATGGTGTGATGCCTTTGGGCTCAGGAGCCATGAGGTCATGACTGGTCAAGGATCATTTTGACAACAGTGCAAGCGGACAATGCCAGGCTAGCAGCATAGGCGTAGCAGCAAGAGTGACATTGCCAAAGTTGAGTGGGAGTTGCAACAAACAAAAGAACCTGCAGTGCAAAGCAGGAAGGAGGTGAGGCGAATGGGGCCATGTGAGCAAGCCAGCAAGTCGTAGGGTTCAGTTGAGAATGGCGGATGAGGCGCTCGCACTGGAAGATGCATCGTAAGCAGCGCGCTGCAAGATTTGTCGCGGTTGCACCTTCATTTCAGCCAACATACACATAGACACTCTGACATTGGTTTGCTGTTAACTCAATTCCCAGGTGAAAAAAGGTGAGAGAACTGCATGGCGAAAGGTCCAGGAAAGTGTAGGTGTTTTAACAAAATGGTTTTCGCACTTGACTGCGGAAAGCGCACAGCGGCAAAGCGGCTGCAGGTCAGCGATGGGAAAAGGTTTAGGGGAGGTATCGTGGAACCACCATGGAAGCAAACAAGAGAGATTGGAACAGCGTGGCAAAAGTTCAAAACAGTCGCAGGTACGTGAACCTGGCGTCCCAGGTTCATATCCTCTCCAAACATCAGTACCTTCGTTGGCCACAGACTGATGAATGGAGCTGTGGCCCCCTGCTGTGGTAGCAGAACAAAAGCACAGGACCCTTTGGAACAGGGGTTGACACACACAGGTACCAGGTAGCCGAGATCTGCGCATGCGTGAAAGGACAGTGGCTTCTGTTTTTTCTCAAAAATTGCCGGCACGCAGTTTGATCATGCCCTTTTCGGACATACAGCCGGATAAGCTCTTCAGCCGCTGCTGAACGGTCGGCTGGGGCGTGCAAATGAATTATCGAGCATGAATTTCGCAGCAAACAAGGTGCCTTCATAAAGGCCGCAAGATGTAGCTCCAAGCCAGTGAATACAACATGTTAGAAAGCATTGTAGAAAAACACCTCTCAACAAAACGAGGAGACGAAAGCCAATCCCGCAGTCAAAATCTCATTTCAAGCAGCCCATGAACAATCGAGGGAGGCAAAACATGTAGTCGCAGGTCGTAGCACGAAAGTGGTCCAAGAAAACTGGCATGTTGTGCGTCAATCAGAGTTCTGAGCGGTATAGCCGCTGCAAATTGAATTCCGGCAATGCTCGGTCTTTTTCGCCGAGCGAGGGGTATGTGGTGTGGCGTGAAATTGGAGGTGAAGCGACTGTACACACTTGAAACTCAAAAGTCGGCTGCATATCGAAAAGAAACATGCACTAGAATGACATGCTGAATGCTCAGTACGTTGAAAGGACAATCACCGTATTAGCCCGGCGGCTCAAAAGGCAGTGAATTCAAGGTGGAAGAAAGCAGTTAAGAGAATCCAAGGTTTGGTGAAAACGGTCAAGGCAGTTACACGAGTTCCGGCATGAAAACGGCGCCTCCTTGCTGAGGATCACACCCAGCACCCAAGTGGGACGGCTGAGCGGTTCACACTCTGACATTGGTTTGCTGTTAACTCAATTCCCAGGTGAAAAGAGGTGAGAGAACTGCATGGCGAAAGGTCCAGGAAAGTGTAGGTGTTTTAACAAAATGGTTTTCGCACTTGACTGCGGAAAGCGCACAGCGGCAAAGCGGCTGCAGGTCAGCGATGGGAAAAGGTTTAGGGGAGGTATCGTGGAACCACCATGGAAGCAAACAAGAGAGATTGGAACAGCGTGGGCAAAAGTTCAAAATAGTCGCAGGTACGTGAACCTGGCGTCCCAGGTTCATATCCTCTCCAAACATCAGTAGCTTCGTTGGCCACAGACTGATGAATGGAGCTGTGGCCCCCTGCTGTGGTAGCAGAACAAAAGCACAGGACCCTTTGGAACAAGGGTTGAGACACACACACACACCCTTGTTTGTTAAACTCAGGTCACAAAACTTGATGTGTGAAACCTCACGCATGTGCGCAAACAGCGAAAGGCTATCCTGCGAATTGCAGCGCGCTGCCCTTGAATCCAATCGCAGCTCAGTCATTCACTTTTTCTTGTCCATGGTCCTTCTTCCAAGGGCCATCTGAGGTGTTCGGAAGCTTTGATGAAGGCCCACATTATGCTTCAGAGCAAGTGAACGAAAGCTAGACTTGCTGTGGGGTCGCAGCAGGTTGTCCCACCCAGATCTGGCTCTTGCGGAGGCGCGCTGGCAGACAAAATATACTATATAGTTGACATTGGTTATATCGAAATAATTGTATTACTGTATAGTATAGTAATTAATATCCCAAGTTTATTCTGCATTTCCAGGCAAGCGCCGCCCTCGTCTGGGAGGCCGAGATACCCAGATACCGTACAAGATCCTAAGTGCATTGGTGCATCCTGTGTGGCCGGATCTTTACCGCGTGCACTTCACTAGGGCAATCAAGACCTGCCACGCTCTTGCACCTACACGGACGGCATACCACCTGATTCAAGTGGCCTGTTATTTTTGAGAAGAGTGAGAAAAGCGCCTTGAACAACCAGGGAGTAGAAATGTAAGTTTGGGTGGAGTAGCTGTATCATGCTGTATAAATTGCTGTATCTAAATCAGCGTACAAAACTGCGAGTGCTGAGTATTGACTTTTCGCCAGAAGCCAGGATAGCTTGTTTCCTCATGAGATCCTGTAGCATAGCTCAGAGTTGAGTCAGCAATTCGTCAGCAATGGCGGCCATCGCAGTCTTCAGGAGCCCGCTCCACAGCCAAATTTGCACCACTGCGGGGGGCAGACGAGGCTGTGATTTTTTCCACACGCATGCAATTCCAGACTAGGCTTGCCTTAGGAGATGGCTGTCCAATTTGCTTTCGGCCTTTATAGTGGTGATTCAGTGGTGTATGGCAGCTGCGGTTTTCATTCATGGATCAAGCAATGCACATTCATGAGTTGCTTGCATGGGTTCTGGTAGATCGAGTTGCCCAGCCCCTGGAAAACAAGCACGTGGCATCCACAACCTCCCAAAAATTACAAAGACAGCTTGCCTAGATATGTAGTGTGTGCAGCCCTACATCCATCCACCAAGTTTGCATTGAGAGCCATGCCAGCGTTGTCGGAAGAGGACATTCTTGGACTTTGGCGTTTGCGTTCATTGCTGCTCGTCAAAACTGGTGTTAGACTTATTTGAGGCCGTTTTTGCCACCATGTTACACTAGGGGCACACCACAACCACGAAGCTCCCCTAGTAACATCTAGTAACAATTTATTTTAGACATTTCCTGAGCCCTTTTGCAGCCATCGCCCGAATAAGCCTCTACCTCAGTGTACCTGAAGGAAAGCATTCTACTAGTCAAGCGAATGGAGTTGAAAGGATGCAGGAAGTGAATATGTTGTTGCAACCGTTAATATTTTGTTGCAACCGTCTAATCAGTTCGAACCGGAAAGGATATTGTATCTCACTTAAAATATACAATTCTACTATTGTTAGAAAAACGACTGTGCATCATTGTAGACGTGGAGGTTGGGAAGGTAAGGTTGTTTTGTAACCTACTAACCTGATAGAGTCAAGAGTCAAGGTGTTTTTGTGCAGCAGGAGGTTAAGTCTAGTATTGCAACACACTGAGAAACCACGTATGAACCTGTGAACACTTCCTTCACTGTTCGCTGCCGTTACGCTTAGGCGCCTTGAGCTCAGAGAAAAGATAGCGTGATGGCCGAGTGAGTTGAAAGAGACCGCGGCGCTGTTTGTTAGCTTTGTTTGAACTCAGTTCCTGGTCGGTCCCTTCGTTCAGCTTCCACTGAGAAATCAGTGGTAGCGGAGCTTTGGGATCGCTCCAGCGCTCGCCATGGGCCCCTGGGTACAATCTGGTCTAGATCCTGTCAAGGTTCACAGCATTGCATGTCACCACCTGGAACACATACTTTTGCCACGTCGGTTGGACAACAGTCGTTCGATGTTGGACAAGGGTTTGCTTCGCAGCCAGCGTTGTATCCTGGAGGACCCCAAGGAGCGCCGCAGACCTTGACGCCTGACGGCGCCGCCGCAGGCACCTCTGTTCGTCTCACATTTAAGGAGCTGCGGGAAATCGTCGACTTCAGTCAAATGTGAGTCCAATGAATCAGTCGTTTTCAGGACCTTGTGCCGCCTTTGGACCTACCTCCCAAGGAGCTTCGTCAACCGTCGGAGGACAGCTCGGTGGAAGTTGCACCGGACTGGCCGGGAACTGGTTACAGCACTTAGATGCGAATGCATCACCACCCCCTCAAACGAGGACAGTCAGCAGTGCTTTTGAGCTTTTCGGGAAACCTTTTGGTGGATCCATGCCATCTCAAACCCAGTCACCATCAACGCCTGTGCAACAGAATGAACTCATGTTGAGAGCATTGACAGCAGCATTGAGCGGTGACAAGAAGTCATTTCCAAGTTGGTTGGAACGGGAGTGTTGAGACCCTTCGACCTTCGCTGAGACAGTTGAGTTGTTGGGAGCTGGACAACAATGTCCCTTGATCACATTGGGGCATCAAGTTGTTGCAGAGCTTTACAGATGGCAGTGCACCACGGAAGATAGCAGAAACCGTGGGCCTCGCTGTTGTGATGACAGAACAAGGGTATGGGATCATTCTCACTGAGACCATGGCCAAGTATGGGCCTTATTTAGAGGTCATTGGACCAGCTGCCAGAGTCATTGCGCAAGTCCATTCTCTCAAGCTCAAAGTGCAGGCTGTGCACCCACTGGTGCAATCCGCGACCAGTGCAGACCAGCTCCACCTTCATCACACCTTCTTGCGGAATGCAATCGACGAAGCCAAATCCGTGGGCGTACAACTTGCTCCAGATGCTGACAACATGCATTCCGTGAGACTTGTCACAGCGCTGGCTGAGTCTATGGAGTGGGCAGAGCTTGCGAGGGTGCTTTCAGTGGGACTTGAGGGCAAAGAGGAGAGCACAGTAGCAGAGATACGCAGTCGAGGCATTCTACATGCGACTGAGTCCATCATGCGATCACCAGTGGTTGTTGGAGATTCAACTGTCCAGAAGCAAAACATGGTTGGTCTGGAGAAACTATCTCGCTTGCAGTCTCTACTTGAAGAGATTAGCAAATCCGATGATCTTCAGAAGGGTCAATCCTTGGAAGCCCTTCGTTCTGAGCTGGGTCACTTGGGCACGTTCGTGAAAGAAACCATTGAGCAGGGAACTGATTTGACAAGAGATGTCAAGGAAGTCGAATGTGCGCGAACCATCTTGACCGCCAAGAACAGCGTGCTGCTCAAGGTCATGGGATGTCTTCCTGGCGGGGTATGGGCTACTTACTGAAATGACACACCAAGCTTTGGCAGATATTCATGCTCACGCAGCTCTTGAGCGAGGTTTGGACTATGCGTGCCTTGTCATTGTTGCAGGTTCAGGGTTTACAGTAAAGTTTAAAAGTTTAAAGCTTTCCATTTTACGTTTTTCATTTTGGTGACAAAGAGTCTGAGTATGAGTATTAGTGAATAGTGAGTGAGTATAGTTACTATAGTTAGTATAGTTAAGTTACATCTACTTATTTACGCTTGTAACTATATATCGCTAATATCGGCTGTTCTGTTCTTGTCATGTTCCAAATGAAATTTGCCCAGGTTGAAGTTGGTGGACCAGCTTACTAGCCTTACACCAGAGGAGTTGTTACAAAAGGATGGCAAGGTTACCCTTCCAGATCAAAGCAAGTGGGCTGATCTTGCATCAAAGACCAACATCGTGACTGCTTCAGCGTCTGCTCCGTTTCAAGAGAAGTGTGCAGACAAAATCGCGAAGATCAATGGCAAGCAGAAATCCTTAGCACATGGCCTGCTGCGTTCCCTCATCCAAGCGATTGCAATTTCGCACCCCAAGGCATTGGCAGCGATGGATTCTGTTCTGCGCTGCTACTCCAATTGGAGTGCAAAGGTTGACTGGAGCTCACATGTTCTAGCACTGCAGGCAGTGGTAGATGCCAACCTACGACTTCTTCTTAGCTTTGATGTGAAGGGTGTTTGGGGAGGTGAAGCCGGTGCTTCTTTTGAGAAGGAGATTGAGCGCATGATGAATTTGTTCCAGGTATGCCTCACAGCGGGACATTGGATGCTTCTTGGCTGGGGCTTCAAAACTTAAACTTTAAACTTTAAACTTGGATCTCTCTGTGTGTGTGTCACCGACTCTTTTCAATGAAGTTTCAATAAAGTTTAATGAATAGTACATCGTTTATTTTTGTGTTTCCAAATGCACATACATTGCGGCAAGGAAGTCAGTCTTGGCACCAAACCATGGAGAAGTTACGCTCACTGATTCGTGGGATGTTGGACTGCGCAAGTTCATTGACTGGGTGGCTGCTCTAGAAGCAGCAGAGAAGCAGTGCACCGAGTCACAGCCAAACAACTCGGATGCATCTACGCCAGCTTGCTGTTGGTTGCTCAAGGGTTTTTTGAGGGCTTGGATAAGTTCAAGTACCATAGCCTTTACATGTTCTTCGCGGAGCATGCTTGCCGTGCCATCACTCCCAACTGCAAGGCATGTCACAACTTCCACACGGGTGTGATTGGATGTCTCTTTGTCGATGTGAACGAGTTCTTCACCCGCAAAGCAGTTCCAGAATGGGCGAGTGGCCAATCTCAGATTGAGTGGCCCAAATCTTTTGCCTTCGGGTCCCTTCTGGAGACCTTCCTACTATCCAAGTCCACACCTCCAGAGAAGGCTTGCGTGCATTTCGAGAGTGGCCAAGTTCCAGGATTGCTAGTGTGTTTCCTCCACGAGCATGGTGTTCCGGCAGTTGATGCTCTTCTCAGTGGAGTCTCAGATGGCCCAGTCAAAGAAGGCTCGCACTTTGTCTTCCATGATCAAGTCTTTCACCAAGGGCAAGTCCAAATTGGATGAACTCAAGAGTTCTACCAGCGGGCAGCTGAGTCAGTTAGATTCGCTGCTCGATCTTTGCCTGAAAACCTCGGCTATGATTGGCACTCTGGAGAAGCAGATTCATGAGTGCACATGGAAGAACCTATTCAAGGAATTCGAGCGCATCCAGCAAGTGGGAAACATCTGCGCCAAGCGTCTTGAGGCCAGTTTGCTCACGATCGTTCAGCTAGTCTCGGAAGAGATCAAGGCTTCCTTTGAATCTGTGGCGACCGAAGCCAAAGAACTGAATGGGTCCAGCAGTGAGTCCACCGTTAGGATGCTCATCGACAAAATATCCTCGCAGGTGGACAGGAACGAAACCAAGGACAGACTTGGTGAGACGCCTGACAATTTCTTTGGAGCCATTGTCGAACCAGAGTCTGACTTTGTATACCTCGCGCGGAGCCGAATCGTCTCTCTCCGGGCGCTCTTTGTGAAGCGCAAGGACAAGATGCACACGCTCGCAGAGTCTTTGGTGGCACGCATTGAGAAGGCAGAGGCCATGAATGCTGTTGAACTCTTTCAGACGGAGATGGAACAAGGCGCTTTGTTCAAGGCATCTCTCATTCTTGCTGACCTTGTTGCCCTTTGGCAGCATGAACATGTCAATGTAAATTCTGTAGATCCCAATGCAGGTTTACATTTCATATTTTTACTTACATATATATATAACAAAGTTTACACGGTGATCTGAGGTTCAAAGTTCGGATAGCTGTTATTTTGCTATCTTAGGTCATTTCTGCCATCACCAGAGACTTCGCGACTAATGAACTTGCGAAGAATGACTTGGATAAAGCAGCTCAGGGTGTGATGACCAAGAAATTTTGCCCTTCATATTCGGTGCGCCAAATCCTGGTCAAGAAGCTTCAAGGCTGGGAGCCTTGAAATTTCATCGGTTTCTAATCTATATAACGGTCGTCAATAAACTCAATTCAAACCTAAGTCAAGTAACCAACTGTTGGTTGCCAAGTTTTCTGTAGCTAGGTTGCTGCAGCTGCACTAAATTCACCCCAGTATTGATGTTGCTTTGACCCAGGTGTGGATGCTGCTCCAGCAAAGGAATTTCAGAAGTATGTTGACGCGCTATGAATGAACAGAAGCCGAGCCGGGCCGAATAGGACCTGGGACCTAGGATAATTGAATCGATCAAGGGGAGAAAAGACCCTGTCCTGTCGTTAGTTGTTTCATGGTTCACGTAGTAGGTTACACTTTTATACTAACTGTTACTATACAGCTATACATGTCCAATCATGTTTGCCTGCAGTATTGAAGTCAATGTTTTGCCCTTGAAGGGTAAACAACTTGCTGACCATCAAAACCCCTTTATCGTCTTCCTTTCTATTCTTGCGCACAGAACTGCATCCAGCTCAGTACCGTACAGATCGCAGTGGAGTTGGCACTGTGTGATGGAAAACGGGCAGGTAGGCCAAGCAAATTGGGATGGAGCAAACTGAGTTTCATGTTCAAGCACGCATAGTGACGAAGTATAAGTATACAGTTAATTTAACTGCGCGCGGTGCATAGTCACAGTAGGATGCCTGGTATGTTTGCGTGTAGTACTTCAAGAACACGGCATTAAGTCGTCAATCACAATTGAGTTGAGCAAAGCGCACTGCTCAATGGAGGCCTTGAGAAGCTTTCAATCCAAAAAACAACAGCAAACAAAGGCGCTCTGTGTTCCAAAACAATAGCATTCTGCGTTGGATGTTCCAATGAAATGTGTGGCAGTACGACTCTGTTGTGGAAAAACACGTGTGGCAGTACTGTGCTGCCAATGTGGCAGAAAGCAAGGAAAAGTGTGTCAGCAACATGTGGCACACAGGGACAACAGTGTGGCAGTTGCTGAATGCTGACTATTATATGGTCAGAAAATCATGGTAGAGAAAATCCCTACAATTGAATGTCTACGACAAGTGCGTCCTCACTCTCCCCTCACAGGACACTCGTCCGGGAGCCTTGACTGAAGGTTATTTGGTCATTGAAGTGGACGACATCATTGAGGCATGAGGAGCGAGACACCAAGCATTGACGCAGAAGATGGAACAAACTGTTGACTTTTGGAAAGATCGATGAGGTCTATGTGGCACAACTGGCACCAGCTACGCTGGGGAAGACACTTGCGCCAGCTGAACGACTTCAGCTTTCAGAGCCACATGGAATAGTTCTTGTACACCCGTCTGGAGCCTGTCAAACTGACCAGGCGAGCGCTGAAGAAGGACGCAGGGTCAAGTGAACCTCACCGACGCGGGGGAAACCACACAGCTGCGTGGACTTCTCGCATCACTCAACTGGGTCCCCCGCTAGGCCCGTCCTGATGCTTCGGCTGGGGCATCGATCTTAGCCTCAGCATTTCCACAGCTGAAGATGTCCCATCTCGGGGAAGCCGACGAGATCGCGCGGCATGCGCCTGAAGACTTGTCCAGTGACGTTGCGAATTCTTGCCATTGAGGAAAACCAGCTTCGGCATTTCCTTATTGCTGACGCCGCGGTTGACACTTCAAGGACAAGAGAAGTCGCAGTTTGGCTTCCTGCTCGGCTTTACTACTCCAGGCTTCAATGCAGACCAAAGCTCTCCCATGAGTTTGAGGCAGTGGCAGTCACGACGACTCCGCCGCAAGGCTGCGTCGTCCTTCTTGCGCGAGGTCGACAGCTGCCATGGAGCGGCAGGTGACATTAATTGAATCCATTCGCTTCTCTGGATCAATCCAAGGACCAAGCAATGAAGTGAGGATGAGCTGTTGGCCACCTTTGAAAAGACACAGGTGATAGCTTCAGAAGTTGAGGCCCACAAAGACCCGCAAGGCGTAGCCCTGATGGACGCAAAGGCCTTGCTTGACAGTTTGAACAGCGATCAGTCGCAGGGTGGCGCCGACGACCGCGCTAGCTTAGAAGTGGTAATCATAAAGGACTTACAAAAGTGTAGGGATGCCATGTGGAACCACTCATGCGGTTGCTGAAGAAGAGAACCAAGTCCTTGAAAGGGGAAAGCAATCACAGCATCGCATGAAGGTGGGCACACGAGCAACCCAAAGTGAAGTAAGCAGAATCTTTTGGGGGCTGAGAAACCACGTATGAACCTGCGAACACTTCCTTCACTGTTCGCTGCCGTTACGCTTAGGTGCCTGGAGCTCAGATGACCAAGAGAGTTGAAAGAGACCTCGATGTTGTTTGTTAGCTTTGCTTGAACTCGTGGTCCCTTCGTTCAGCTTCCACTGAAATCAGCACTAACCAGGTGGAGTTGAAAAGGATGTGTTTTGTTTGTGCTGCAGGAAGTGCAGTACATTGATATCATGGACACGCCTGAAGTCAAATTAGGCAGTATGCGGTCTTTTTGGATCGGATGCTATGGAGGTTTAGGTTTATTTGGATCGGTCTATTGTCATGAAGGTCAAGGTGGTTGGCCTGATATATTTATATATGTATATATGTATATATGTCAAGCACGCCAGTATTGCAAATTTTGTGGGGAGGATTCATGGTTAATCTATGCGCAATGGAGTTGAGAAGTGCACTAATGAAACGTACGAAAATGCTATGGTTTTTAGAGTTCAAACTACGCGAGTTTTGCCAAAATGTGGGAGAACCCATAGCTTTATGATTGTCAGGTGACTTTGTTATTGTCGCGTGAGAGGAAGAAAGTAGCACAACATTTTTCATTAATAGTAGGTGGCCAAAATGTCGGAGAACCCATAGCTTTATGATTGTCAGGTGACTTTGTTATTGTCGCGTGAGAAGAAGAAAGTAACGCAACATGTTTCATTGATAGTAGGTTAACCGTCGGTGGCCGAAACCTGCCTTGCGCGAGGTTTTTCGCAAGGGTTAATTGCACTGTTGTTGCTGGCTGGGGTTTTGTGGAGTGGAACTGACACTAGGGTTGTTTAAGAATGCTTCCTTGTCTCCACTCGTTCGTGAAAGTGCACGCGTGCAGTGTCATCAGCGGCAGCATGGTAATTGTATCAAGAAAGCCAGCCGATAGGCAAGGCTTGAGGTTGATGGACCGAACGAACGAAGTGGGTTAAAGAGGGTGTGGGGGGTGGTTGCGAGCAGGCCAATCTCGGAGAGGCTAACCCAGAGCCTGGTGGGGGAGAGCGAAAAAAGCAGGTCGCCCAGATTTTGTGAAAAATGAGTGGTTTTAGGGGTGTTGCGATGCAAGTGATGTAATGGACGGCGAAGAGTGCATCATCAGCATCACGCAGGGCTCAGGAGGCCATGTAAACTGATTT